TTTTAAACTGATTTATAGGAGTGCTTCATAGATTCTGGATTTGAGCCCTTCATTGAATACAGGTGTCTATGTGTTACAAATTTCTCTTATTCCATGGTTGGCTTTTTTTTTTTTTTTTTCAGAATTTTAATGGCATCTTGTGATAAATCTTTAGTTTAACAATCTTTTACTTTACTTATTTATTCATTATTAATTTATTATTTGTTAGTACTCTTTATTTGTTATTGGTTTCATTTGATTTCTCTTTGCCTTCTCCTGTTTTAATCGAACATTTTATGTGATTCCATTTTTATCTCCTTTTTTAGCATATTAATTACACTTCCTTTATACAGTTTTCCTCTTTACCTCTTGCCTTAGAGTTTGCAAAATACATTTTCAGTTAATCTAAATCCACCTCCAAGTAACACAAGACTACTCATTAGTTCAGGTAACTTGCAGTACAATAAGGTATTCCCAAATTCTTCTCCCATCCTTTATGGGAGATTGCTGTCATTCATAAACACCCAAAACATTCTTGCCATTATTACTTTAAACAGTTATCTTTTAAGTCCAGTAAAAATATGAAAAGCAAAATATTTTATTTTATCTATATTTGCCTCTTAGAAGCTCCTCTCTTTTGATAATTTGTAGTACTGAGTTCATGATCTAATGCTTTGTATCATTTTACTTCTGAGAGCAGTAATGACATTAGTACAGATTTCCTTCTATTTATCCTCTACTCTCTGTGAAATGATTTTCATGGGTTACATTATTTTCCTTAGGTTATATATATTTACCCTCTTTATTAATAAACTTCTCCTCCTTATTTGATTCACTGTTTAAATAATATATTTTTACATTCTGTATTTTACATAACACTGAGGGAATCAGTGTTATGTGCTTCCTTCTTTTCCTTTCACAATTATCATTCCTATCATTTCCAATTCATTTTAATTATTCCCCAAATTTCTCCTTCATATCATACACTGTGCTTTAACAGTCTTGTCTCCTTTTTGTTTCTTCTCTGATGGATTCATTTTTTGTGATTCTTTCTTATTTCTTTTATGAGCTCTGCAAGATTATGCTTCATCTCACTCTGTTGTCTCACTGCATTTTTTCCTGAGTTCTTGTAATTTTTCTTTGAACTCTTTGATTAATTCACTTGGTTATTTTGAATTCATGGCAATATGCCTGGCCAAGATTTTTATCTGCTTGGTGGCAATATTTTTTCCTGTTACTATGTTTTGGGCCTGCCATTCGCTTTTTCTGTTCTTTTTTTCTAAAAGTATTTTTAAATGATTCTGTCTGTATCTTTTTAAAAATTATTGTAATACAGTCTTGATTGAGGTGACAAATCACATTTGAGTCAGCTATTTGCACAAAGCCTATGTGGGGAGGTGCTTGGGCAATAGAATTAGCAGTGATTAATTTGAATGTAAGTTGTTTAGCCTTTATTTGCCCTGTCATTCTTACATACTAAGGCTTTTCAGCTTCCAAAAATGACTGGAAATTAGACTCTCTTTAGACTCACCCACAGACTGCTTTCTATAAACATGGCATGTCTGTGTGTTCCCATTCTGTGGTACCAAATTCTGGAGAAAGTCCAGCCCTCAGTCCATTTATTCTTTTCATGTTGCTCTAAACAATATACATCAGTCAGTATCCCAATAAGAATAAAGTGGCCCATTTAAATGCAATAATTCAGGAGAATCAATAAAGAGTTTATTTACAAGGCTACAGTCATAATTAAGAGAAACTACTGAGAGATAATGAAGTACTATATGGCTAACAATAACAGGAAGCCAGGATTTCCAAAGGCACAAGGGTATAAGCCAATACGTGCGCGCGTGCGCGCGCACGCGCACACACACACACACACACACACACACACACAGAGATGGATGGATGGAGGAATAAATGGATGATAGACAGATAGATGATAGATAGATAGATAGAAACTGTAGGTTGTAAAAGCTGACTTCCCAACAATAGCTGTGTGTTTTGGTAGAGGAGTAAAGTACCATAAACCTGTGGCTCAGTATAAAGAGAACTAACAGCATAAATACCCCATCCATAATTTCTTGCCACCCTACCATATCCTGAAATGTTTCCCATCAGCCATACCCAATGGGGAAACTGAAGGCAAAGGCATCAGACTGAATTCAGTCCATTCAGACCGAAGGAGAGAGCAGACTGGGAAAGGTGTAGAGTATATTTCTAATAGCTAACAGACAATATCAGCTTACAAGCAATGTCGGTTTTGAATTTAAGGGTTTGTCATGTGTTTTAGACTAGTGAGGTATTTTAGATAATACACAGTGAAATTTGTCTAGGATAACTAGCCACAGGTTTCATTTCATGGGGGAGTCTTACACCTTTGTTTTACCTCTATTGCATTTGACAGCTTTCCTCGTGTTTTGTTTTACAGATGTCAGTGAATTTCTTTAAAGGTAAATGTTGGGATATTATTTCCTATTGTAAGGAGTGATTTCCAAGAGGATGAGGGGGAAGAGACGATTTAACTTATTATTCTTGTTGCAGTATGGCAATGTTTGGCAATGTTTTGCAGGAACAGGAAACAGAACATGAAGAAGCTTTTTGGGATGCCATTGAAGTATTCCAAGTGATAGATGATAATAGCTTGTACTTCAGTGGTAATTGTAGAAATGGTGAAAAGTTTAATTCCAAAAATATATAGCAGGACTAGATTAATTGATCAGACATGGTGAGTGAAGTAGAAAGAGATATGGATGTCTTCCATATTTCTGGCATAAGCCACTAATAAACGTTGATTCCAGTTGATAAGAAAACGGCTTCATAACAATGGATTTGTCTTTACCACTCTTCTTTCTTGAGTCTCATGCTCCTCATACATAAGAAAATAGTAGTGACTTTTATAATGTGAAATTGATGGTTTTTATTTAGTAAGAAGGTAAGTAAATAAAATGATAAACTTAATAATAAGGCCTGTGTAAAAGCTTTGAATATCTTTCTCCCAGAGTTTAAATAAGTTGGAATCTTCCCCTATGTCTGCCTACTTTGTGATCTAAATCTTTCTTCATCTAGCACTGAAAATGGGTGAAACGGAGAATAACTTAACCATGTTGGAGGATGTGGCCTAAGAGGATATTGGACTTTGGGTGTAAACAGTGCTTAAAAAGGACTGATGGATGCATCTGAAAGAGGGGAGGAGATCTGTTATTTACACAGCTGAAAGGGTGTAGCTCTAAGGGTATGCATGTTATGTGCTGCATGCTGTTTGGGGAAGAGAGAATAAGTACACTATTTCTCAAACCTTACTTCACTTTAAAGTTAGAAACTTATTTGAATTTGGGAGGTGTGTGTGTGTGTGTGTGTGTGTGTGTCTTTGACAGTCTCTTGAAGAGGGTAAACCATATTTCATAATTGCCTTCTCCCCCATTACCAGCAGATATGCACATTTTGACGATGGGGAAATATTAACTTCCCAGTAAGAATGGTTCCTGTCTCTGCCTACTCTACCTTCTCCCTGTAAGGCTAATGATACAGTGCCCAGACTGTATAGAAAATATTTGATGAATTGCAGGTTTGAGAGTGAAAATCATAAATTTAGTTTGGCATATTGAGGTTCAGGTACCTGTGAGATATCCAAGGGAAGACCTCGGATAAGCAGTGGGATCAACAATCTGAGTCTTAGAAAGAAACATTTGAGTTGAAGACACAATTTTCGGTGTTATCATATAGAAGGCAATTAAAATGGTAGGAATGCATGAGATTGGCTAGGAATAGAGTGCAAAGTGAGAAATGCTCTGAAGAACCTGAAATTCCCTCAGGCACTTGTAATTAAAGGTTGGGGAGAAGAGGAGGCACCTGGCTGGCTCCATTCCTCTAGGGTGAGTGACTCTTGATCTCAGGGTTGTAAATTCAAACCCAGATGTTGGGTGTAGAGATTATGTAAAAATGAAGTCTTTATATTAAAAAAAAATCATTTGGGGAGAGAAGAATGGATTATCAAGGCAAATTGAGATAGGCTGGTCATAGGAAAATAGAAGGAAACCCGGGAGAATCTGAACTCACAGAATTCAAGGAAGAGAGTATTTTAAAGGGAAGACAGAGAGGCCAATTATGTCACCTACTGTTAAGAAGTCCTGTGAAATGAAAATCAAAACTTTTTTCTGAGTCACAAAGTGTACTGTCTGTAATGAAATGTGTTTGCATTGGTGGTATGGTAGAGCCATACTGGAATGGGTTGAGGAGTCAATAGAAAGGAGAGGCAAAAAAGAGAACTCTTTACAAGAATGAAGGAGAACAAAGAGATAGAAGAATAGCTTAGGAGAACATAGTATCCAAGGAATGTTTATCTTTTTTAATTTTATAAAGGAATGATTAAAGCATATTTAAATACTGAAAAACAAGGTCTAGTGGAGGGAAACACTCAGCTGAGAGGCCACGGACAACCCCTAGCCACAGAATTATGAGACAGTATTAGATAAGGCCCTTTTTGGAGGAAAAATATTTGCTACATTTTCAAAGTAAAGAAAAGAGGTGAATCTGGGTGCCTTTATGAGTAGGTTTACATATTTGGTGATGAAAGTTGTACAACTTTCCCTTATGATAGTTCTAATTTACCTTATTTATGATTCTAATTTATATATTATAGAAAACTCAGAGAGAGGATCATCCACTGAAATTCCAGAGGAGAGAGAAGGGTCAGGATTTAGGGAGACTTGAAAACATCACTGTGAACAGTCAGAAACAAGCCAGGCACTATTGAGTACTTGATGAGTTTGGAAACCATAAATGTGCCCCATTGCATTATTTTTCTCCAGCACTTTAAAACTATTTGAAAAAGAATGATGAAAGGTATGACCCCGGTATCTCAGTCCGGCACAAAGCATTCCTGTGATGTCTCTCTCTAATGTACTTGATACCGGACCACAGGGAAGCTAGTTTTATCTTTGTAGAGCAAATTCCCCTCATGGCTTAACTGAGGAAACTCTTGTGGTAGATATGCCATCTAATGTGATTTTACTCTCTTGCAGAAAATCTCCCCCTGGATCGGCAACTGTAAAGGCCAACAGGTGGATTTTGAAGTAAGGACTTAAAATTTGTCTTTCATTGATTATTCAATCATTTACCTCAATTCCCTACTTAAAATTCAATCTAAACTGCTTTTTAAACACTATCATGGACCTAGCTGTGTGGTAGGCACAATAGATTAAGAAATATAGAACACAGACTTACCTTCAAGGAATTTATGATGTTTTAAGATTAATTTTCAGAGGCTATTTTCTTAATATTCACATCAAAACTGTTAAAATGTGTTAACTCCTCAAATATTACATTTACATGTATAAATCTGTGTTTAGATGAAAAACAAATTAAAAAAATTAAGGAAATATATTTTATAATAACCTATTTCTATGACAGATTAGACATAGAAATATCTGGTTTGGCTTGTATTCTAGTAATAATGCTCCATGAAAAAGAACAACAAACTACCTTTGTAGGACATAGGTAAAGGCATTAATATCTGAAAACTTTTTTGTGTGTTTTTTAAATTAGAGACCAAATTCCAATTTTCCAAAGTTCTCTTTTTGCTTATCTGTATCAGTATTTGAACTACCTATCTTTCCTTATCTCTGAAACAATACTGAGGAATGTCACAAAGGTTAAAAAACATTTAAAATAATCTTTTTATGAGGCGGTGAATGGTAAGCCATACTTCAGTATGTTGAAGCATGAGTAGGAAGTGGAGGCAGGAAGGTTAGCTGACAATGTTTTCCAGGAGGCAAGTTAACTGTTCTATTGAGTTTTAAGTATTGGTATGCATGAAAATTTTTATTGTGTATTTCCAAACCCACAATACAGAGAATGAAATAAAAGTTCATAGTTTTCAGCTGCTCTAGGTGACCTATTCAGACTAGCTAAGAAGGAAAAATACTGTAAATCTTTTTGTGTGAGACTTGTTTTTGTAAAAGATATGTGTGAGTAGCTTTCATTTAAAACCAAAATATTTTGACAAATCGAAACTTCAGCTAGAACCACTGTGAATAAATTTAAATCCATACATTGAGGTATAAAATGGTGCTAATCACATATTCCAGCTGTCAAAATCCCTGGCAAGAGTATATTAGTGAAAAAAAGAAGTCATAAAAGAAGAAGAAAAAAAATCTGACAAGGAAAAAAAGATGGTTATAAATGCAGCAAATTTTCTCTGTAGATTCAAATGTTTTCACTAAACAAGTCAAGAAAGGATAATTTAAAATCTCTGTAAGAGGATTTGGCAAGTCAAAATAGACATGAAAAAGACAGACGGTGCAAGTGACAGTTAAAAGTCTGGGGAGAAATCCCTAATAATTTTTATCTAAGTTCTTTTAATCTCATTGAATTTGAATGCCATTCTAAGTTGGAGACATTAGGAAATCTAAGATCAGATTTGTTTTTCCTATTGATATTCAGCTGGAAGGGTAAGTCATACATTATTTAAATAAAGAATAATAAATCCATTTGAAAGGGCTAGATCAAACTCATAGAGATATGTATTATTCTTCCAGAACTTCACAGACTCCAAAGACAAGTAGAAGACCCCAGAGGTCACACAGTTCATTTTTCTGTACTTTTCAGCACTCCGGAGAGACAGCTTTGTTTCTTATTCATTTTGCAGACAGGCAGTTGCTATACTACTGGTCCAATTTCCTCCATCAAATTTGGTTCAATGATTTCTCTATCAACTTCAACATCCCATTTATGCAACAACTGGCAAACATCTAGTATATGTCAGAGACTGTACTAATCACTGAAGGAACCAAGGAAAGTAAGAGGTCCTCTCTCTTTGGGAAAATACAGAGTGCTAAGTGGAATGAACTGGATGCCCTGGGAGCTTGGGGAAGGGCATCGAAACCATATGAGGGGAGGCTAAGAAGCCACATGTGAACGTAGTCTTGAAAGTGCCATTTAAATTAGCTAGGAAAAAGAGGGAAAGCAGAACATTTCAGTAAGAGGAGGACTCAGATTCCAAGATGAGAGGGTGTTAAGAGAGTGATGAGTTCCAGGTGTTCCATATGCATTGGGTAAAGGCTACTGCAGGTAGGGAGTAGTAAGAGGTGAGGCTAGAATAATGCTTTCCAAAAGATCTTTGAGGAACATTAGTTCTGTTAGCAGAATTACAAAAAAAAAGTTTTTAGATTCAGTTGATTTGGAGAAAAAAATAAGTTATATTCCTCTTCTGGAGATTCATAAAGATATGATTGTATTATAATTTTAGAAATCCCATAGTATTGAACTTGACTTAATACCAAACTTATCATACCAAAGAAATTCTTAATACAACACTTTCAGTACTCAGAAACAGTGCTCCAGAGAGCATACTTTGGGAAACATGGAACCAGCATGGGAGAATAGGCCATAATAGTTTTGCTTATACACCAAACTAAGAATTTCAGTCTTCATCCTGAACATCTTGGAGGACAGTTGAATGATTTGTTTTTGATGTTAACCCAGCACATTTACTGACATGGGGCTCGATCCCACGACCCTGGCATCATGACCTGAGCTGAAACCAAGAGTCCAACACTCAAGTGACTGAGCCACCCAGGTGCCGCTAAATTAAAAAAAAAAAAAATATATATATATATATATATTTATACAGATGTATATACATACATATATATATAGTACATATGTATGTATGTATATATATGTATAAATAGGCTCTGCGCTCAACATAGGGCTCAAACTCGTGACCCTGAGATTAAGAGTCAAACACTCTACTGACTGAGCTAGCCAAGTGCCCCAGATATGTGCCATTTAAACAACACACTCTTGAATGCTCATTGGATCAAAGAAGAAATCAAAGGGGAAATTAGAAAATATCTCAAAGTGAATGATTTTAAAGCAAGGAACAGGCATGATCAGATCAGATGTTCATTTTAGAACTTTCCCTCGCAGTTTTGGACTCTGTCAGCTTTGCCAGCTCTTGTGGCTATGTTAGCAATGGAGGAAAAGGGGCAGAGAGACTAAAGACTGCCGTGGTATTTACCAACAATAACGCAAGTGTGGGCTAAACATCAATAAGAAAATGGAGAGAAGAAGGTAACAGGAGGAATGCTGATGAAGTAGACAGAATCTGATGGGAGGTCCCAATAAAACTAATCTGGAGGCTGTAGGAAGGCATGGTTGGCAGAATAGGCACGGGAGGAAGTCCCAGAGGCAGGAAACTTGGAGCAACATTGGGATAAAAGTCCGGGCAAGGAAAGAAGATTGGAGGCATTCATGTTGGGAGCAGTGGCTCAGGAACATGAGGCTGAAGGTAATACCTGGAGCTTTAGTTTCCTCATTACTAGATGGAGGGACTCTGGAGGTGTTATTGTCCAAGACTATATGATGCTTCAAGTCTGTGGTGCAGTTAGGCTATTGTCCACAGATCCTTTCTAACAAAATATTTTATGTTTTGGTTCCTCCCCAAGTAGTATGGTTACCTACATACTTGCTTGGCTTCCTTTATACCTCCTTTCACCCTTGGATGTTTACCTGTAGGTCACAGGCTGTGGAGGGTTTCCTCAAGGACAGGTTAGAGTTTCAAGGATTCCCGTTTGGCTCTGTCAGCTGTTGCCTCACCTGGTGCCCCCGCACCCACTGTTTGTAATCCAGTTCATGGTCTTCTCACCAAGTAATTCTCATGCTCACTTCAACAGGATGAGGCCTGGTGATTCTGCTTTCCCTTTTGATTACTTTCTGAAACCACCGTTTCATGCTGTGTCCATATCCTCATTGACTAGATATAGTCTGTTCGACTGAATGTTCTGGAATGTTCTGGCTTACCTATGGCTCAAGAGTTTTGGGAGAAAGGACTTTCTTTGCTAAAACCAGGGAAAGTCCTGAACAAGCCAGAACAGTCAGTCCCTCTTAGTGGTTCTGCCTTATTCACCACTACCTCCCAGCACAGTGCCTGCTGGGTGGTAGACCTTAACTATTTTAAGTAAGCACTAGCTTAATTAATCAGACACCTATGATTTACCTGATGATGATGTGCAATATACACTTTATCTTGACGGTAAATAATAATCTTATTTATTTTACATATGAGGAACTTGAAACTCAAGAGGTTGTCGTCTACCCAGGGCAGAGACTTGATTCAACCCAGATCTGTCTGATTGCAAACTTGTATCATTTCCAGAATGTAACACTGTTTGTATTGCCCACCTTCCACCAGCCACCTGCTTCAGTTTTTGTGTTAGTGCTGAGCTTTGTGGGTTGTCAGAGACAGGCTCCCAGGAACCAGACATGTTAATAGAGAACTGCACTTTGTACATTGCCAGTAAGGGCTACTCCCCTTTTCTTCCCGGGGCCCTTTTCCCCAGGGCATCTTGTTATCTCCAAGAAACATGAATTCCTGAGAAAGAGCAAATTCCTGACTATCAGCATGAGTTAGAAGTCAGGCAATTGTAGTTACTTTTATCTTTGTGCACATATCATAAAATATATTGCTTTACTAACCCTAAGCCTTCACATACTCTTTACACGACAGCTTTTATAACAGAAATTAAAATGCTATAGGATCAAAAGAAAGATTTTTTTCCCCTGTGTTTACCTCCAGGTATCTTTATACTGGAATTGATGCCTTATGTATTTCCTATGGACCATCTTATAATAATAGTTGACATACGACATCTTCTATTTTGGAACAAAACTAACTCTCCAATCAATTTGAATTCTCTTTGTAGTTTAGATTTATAATGCAACGTTGAATTCTTTTAATAGAACATTATTATCAGATTAGTTACTCATGGCGTCTATTATTTTAGTATAATAAACAAATGTAGCTATAATTGTAAATTGTATTGTGATTAATGAGTGTGTCACTCTTGCACAGCAGTAACATATTTGCTCTTTGTTTAATCAAATTTAAAAGGAGATGGAAGAAGGGATTATGATATGATACCTCCTGTAGATGAAACTGATAAAGGAGCTCCAGGTCAGTGCTTCCTTTTCCTGCATATGAGCAGTTTCCTCAATATAAATTATTTATGTAGCCAGCGATCACAGTGGACTAAAATGTACACAGGATCACACATCCATCATTAATTATATAATCTGGTCTGAAAATTTTCCTGTTTTTAAAAGAGCAGCGAAAATGAAAATAACTGAGCTGTGAAAATATGGTAAATGCTTTGCCTAATGTTTATTTTTAAACTTCCAAATTGTCACTCTTTTGTTTCCCACGTATGTGAAGTATGGGCAACTCTACAATTTGTAGATTAGTTGATTTAGCAGATCAAATTTTTAAAAAATGTATCTATAGCATAGTTGTTAGAATATTCAGTAATAAAAACGACAGCCTAATGCAGAAACTGATGATTTGATTATCCAAAGCCTTTAAGAAATATTTACAGGAATAATTTACTGGCCAATATTTTACAATGGCAAGTCAAAACAAGACTACCTTTGACATTAGAAATTAGGCTTTTTTGTAATTTTCATCTTTGAGTAAAGGAAGAATATTCTTATTTCTACCAACAAGTATAATGAAGGCTTTGGGCAGTTATGTGAGCACTATGAATAATAAACCCAGTGGGTGACAATCTGAAAACCAATATTCTGGTGGTAATTGTTTGTTTTTTTTTAATACTCTTATTTTCATTTTTTATTTATTTTAAGTTTATTTATTTTGAGAGAGAGAGTGCACAGTGGGGAAGGGGTGGAAAGAGAGAGACAGAGAGAGAGAGAGAGAGAGAGAGAGAGAGAGAATCTCAAGCAGGCTCCACACCACTAGTGCAGAGCCCCATGCAGACTTTGAACTCACCTAACTGTGAAATCATGACCTAAGCCAAAATCAGATGCTCAGCTGACTGAGCCACCCAGGAGCCTGAAATAATGGTCATTGTTTTAAAGAGATTCAAACCACTCATTTAGCATACTTACTACATTTTATTCTCTCTCTCTGTCTCTCTCTCGCTTAAAAAAAAACTTTTATATATTTCATTCCCATTTATCTAATAATTACGTACCTTGGTGACAAAAGAGAATTCATCTATCCTTAGAGCCCCCATAAAACCTAGCATAGGAGCTCACACCTTTTTGGCAACTGTAAATGTGTATCGATTGCCTGATCTATAATTTTGGGATAAACTGTGTTAAGAACATGGCAAGATTGCTATTGAGACAAGCAAAATAAATTGATGTGATATATCTCAAAGTTAAGGGATTAATCAATTATACTTCAAATTTGATAGACAGAGTAATACTTCACTAATTACCAGAATTTAACGATCCATTCTTGCCATCAATTTACGGCTGCTGCCAGGAGCTGGGAGAGGGCCTGATTCCTGAATTGGATGCGGTTGGCTAAATGCAGACTTCTTACTAATGCCCATAAGGTTCAGCACTTTGCCACATGTGACAAGCACTATTTCTATATGAAAGTCTTAAGTCCTCACAATACTATGCTCATTTAAAGAATATCAGTGCTTTAGAATAAATTTTACAATTAAAAAATGCTTTAATGTTTATTTGTTTTGAGGGGGGGGGAGGGCCAGAGAGAGAGGGAGACAGAATCTGAAGCAGGCTCCAGGCTCTGAGCTGTCAGCACAGAGCCAGTCGTGGGGCTCGAACCCATGAACCCTTTAACCGCGAGATCATGACCGTAGCCGAAGTTGGATGCTTCTCTGACTGAGGCAGCCAGGTGTCCCTACAAATTTTTTTTTTGATGAGAATACCTTAAGTTATTTTCAAAATGTAAATAGATATACATCAATTAAGTTGTATCTGGCCCTGGTTTAGAAGTCACATAATTGCTGTGGGAAAAG